ATCCTCTGAATGCGCACACTAGACGATTCGACCAGACCGCGAGACCACACACTTGATGATTGTAGGAACGATTTCACTGTGACACGTGATCTCACGGAGACTGGCGAGATCAAACGTGACTAGAGAAGAAAAACCAATAGAATACAATCAACGTTGTCAGCTGGCTCTCCTGGCGCGTGTTCTGTTTCACAATGAAAAACAAAGTATAACAAATAATATGGGTGATGTTCTCTGCTTTCATGGCATGTTTGTGGCTAACAAGTTTCAGCTATAGAAGCACGCAACATCCGGTAGGTGACGCTTGCTCTCTCACTGGCTATCACGAGTATTACGTTAGAGGCAGCCAGATCAAGAGTCGTAAATATCAAACATGTTTGATATTTACGATTTGAGTTCGGCGATGCTCCGTCTCGATCGGGAGCAGTTAAATAATCGTAATGACACCACACAATAGAGGATGTTTTGGACAAAAAAATCATTTGCGACAAGCTGCGAATCGGGCCACACCCCCCTATCGTCCGGGGGTGCAAATTGGGCTTAAAATCGGCCTTAAAATTCTCTAGTGAGCGGCCATCCTAACCTACATCTCATGTACGCATGCAGTCTCTGGGTGTGACAATCAACGTTGTCAGCTGGCTCTCCTGGCGCGTGTTCTGTTTCACAATGAAAAACAAAGTATAACAAATAATATGGGTGATGTTCTCTGCTTTCATGGCATGTTTGTGGCTAACAAGTTTCAGCTATAGAAGCACGCAACATCCGGTAGGTGACGCTTGCTCTCTCACTGGCTATCACGAGTATTACGTTAGAGGCAGCCAGATCAAGAGTCGTAAATATCAAACATGTTTGATATTTACGATTTGAGTTCGGCGATGCTCCGTCTCGATCGGGAGCAGTTAAATAATCGTAATGACACCACACAATAGAGGATGTTTTGGACAAAAAAATCATTTGCGACAAGCTGCGAATCGGGCCACACCCCCCTATCGTCCGGGGGTGCAAATTGGGCTTAAAATCGGCCTTAAAATTCTCTAGTGAGCGGCCATCCTAACCTACATCTCATGTACGCATGCAGTCTCTGGGTGTGTTTTTGTTTGGTTTTTGCAATATACTCGATGATGTCAAATAGGATATGGTTTAAACAACAATTATGATATTATCATAGACGAAATATATTGCACACCCCTAGTTAACGCACAAGCTGGGGGCAAAAGTCTATGGAGAGATAATAAAAGACAAATGCTACTTTTTATTTTCATATATTTGGTTTTTATGAAGTGTGAATATTTGCCAATGCAGCAAGAACATGTCAAAAAGGCATCCACATAAAGAAAGAAGGAAAATATCTATGTTAAAATACAGTACAGTAAAAGTTGCCATGAGTTAAAGTTATTTTTACACATATGCATAAAATGCACTCTGATGGCACCTGCTTTGTAGAATGACAAAAAGTTTTTTTGAAGTAAAGGCCAATTCTTTTGAGTTTTGAATGCAGATAGCAGCAGATGTACATGCACTGAAGTGGATATTGTAAATGGTTTTTGACAGACAATGCAATAAATGTTGTATGCACAAGAGAGCTGGATTTTTAAAAGGGCAGCACAATTTGAGTGAGAGAAGCATTACTGTAACAGACGTTGCTTGGATAGTGTTGGGATTTGGGGAGGGAGTTGGAGAGAAGCAGCGATGCACCTGAACGGGTCAAGGCTTCTTTCGGCAGACTGGCTTTCTGGTATGCAGTACATCAGGGTGGACAGTTGTCAAAATGATTCACTGGTGCAAACTGCGTTTATGGATACTCATTATTCAACTCTTTACTTTGTAAACTCTCTATGATCAATGAGGCCCTTATGGTAAATATAATGTGAGAATTGATTTCTTGTGTCTGCATACACAAAACAATAAAAAAGAAACATTTATACTTGGCTTTGCTGTAATCTGCTGAGAAAATATATATGCTGCTTAGCTGATTTCCTCATTGAAAGGTAATTCTAGGTCTATAACTGTACAACACAAAAAATATTTCATGTGTCATGTGTTTGTAAAAACTAAGGAAAAACTGTAATGTGTGTGTGCAGATATACAGAAGCACATTATTAATAGAGGTCTATGAAGTCAGTGTCCAGGAGACATTTAAAAAATAGTATATATATATATATATATATATATATATATATATATATCAGTGTCGTGCGGTGGTGTTTTAAAATGAGGAGACAGTTATATATACTGTATATATATATATATATTAGAGCCCGACCGATATTTGTTTTTTGGGGGCCGATGCTGATACCGATATTGCGGAGTAAAAAAGACCGATTCCGATATATATCAGCCGATATTCTTTATGTGTAGGCTATATTTTAGTACAGTATAGTCAAAAGTTTGGACACACTTCCCATTCATGTGTCCAAACTTTTGACTGGTTCTGTATATAGAATACAGTATATAGCCTACATAAACAGAATATATGTACATAAACACATTTTTTACAATGATAACTCAAATGTGGTGATCAAACACTTATAATGATGTGACAAACATAGGCCTATGTAGTGGAGGCAGGGTATTTAACAATTTAACAATAAACTTTATTATTCAAAATGAGTCTGACATCAGTGCACTTAACAGTAAACTTCACTTCACTTATTATAAATAACTTAAATAACACAAATAGAACAAAATATATATAACTTGAATTAAGAAATTAAACAAGGTAACTGTGTAGCGCAAGCAAGAGACTGCCAAACCAACAGGGGCAGGTTTATGCAGGAAGCACAGCTTTTTGAAGAGGAGTGGACCAACATTCCACAGGCCACAATCAACAACCCGATCAACTCTATGCGACAGAGATGTGTTTCACTGCGTGAGGCAAATGGTGGTCACACCAGATACTGACTGGACCCCCCCAATACAGTAAAACTTTTAGAGTGGCCTTTTATTGTGGCCAGCCTAAGGCACACCTGTGCAATAATCATGCTGTCTAATCAGCATCTTGATATGCCACACCTGTGAGGTGGATGGATTATCTCGGCAAAGGAGAAGTGCTCACTAACACAGATTTAGACAGATCTGTGAACAATATTTGAGAGAAATAGGCCTTTTGCGTACATAGAAAAAGTCTTAGATCTTTGAGTTCAGCTCATGAAAAATGTGGGCAAAAACAAAAGTGTTGCGTTTATAATTTTGTTCAGTGTATATATAGTAGAAAAATAACTCTTTCAACTAGAGCCCTTGCATGGCCAGCATTGAAATATATCGTTTTGCAGATATTATCGGCCGATATGAGCTTGTTGCCGATATATCGGTATCGGTGAATATGCCGCCGATATGAAATTTAATGTAACACAGATAAAATATTTGAAATGGTGTAATTACTTAGTTTGTCCAGCAGAGCGCGCTCCATTGTTTGCTACTGGCGACCTGGATGAAACACTTTTGAAGCTTAAGTCTAGGGAAAACCATTGAAACTTTGAACGGCCATATCTCCGTAAGGGCGCAGCGAATCCGCACCAAATTCGGAGGATCCCTTCAACTCGAGGAACTCTCTCGAACGTGAATGGAGTGTACGCCTTGAGGCCCACTTTCGAATGAGACCACCCCTGTGTCGATAGCCCCCGGGGTACAGGAGTTACGGGTGGTTAAATTCGCGGTCCGGCGCCGACCAGTCAAGCGATCCCGGGGGGCTACCGACGCGTGGAGGGTGGCGTTCGAGAGGGCTCCTCGAGCTGAAGGGATCCCCCGAATTTGGTGGAGATCTGCCGGCGCGTTCGTGAGATAGTGACACCAGTCAACACTTTCACTTCAGTAAGGACTTGTTCAGGCAGCAGCATTCAAGCGTTGTCTTATTCGACTGTAAGTGACCTGCGAAGTGAACTTCACATGAAATTCTGCCATGATTCCAGTTCCAAGGGAACATACACGTTACATTCAAAGGGCATTAAAGTGCGCGAGATGTGGATTTATATTGTATTTATTTACAGAGGTATATGTCACACTTCACACTTCTCTAGTAAGTTTCTTATGTGTGTGAAGACAGTAGCGCAAATCCGTGAATGAATGTTTCGAAGTGAAATAAACTTTAACGGAATAAAGTTGAATGGAATTGAATTGAATTAAACTTCAACTTTACTGTTCAGTGCACTGATGTCAGACTCATTTTGGATAATAAAGTTTATTTTTAAATTGTTAAATGCCCTGCCTCCATTACATATCTCTGTCACGTCATTATAAGTGTTTGATCACCACATTTGAGTGATCATTGCAAAAAATGTGTTTATGTATATATATTCTGTTTATGTATATACTGTATTATATATATAGTACCAGTCAAATGTGTGGACACATGAATGGGAAAGTGTTCAAACTTTTGACTGGTACTGTACTATAATATACACGAAGAATATCAGCCGATATATCGATATCGGCCTTTTTTTAACTCCCTAATATCAGTATTGGTATCGGCCCCAAAATAACATATCGGTCAGGCTCTACTTTCAACATTAAATACAATAAAAATTTAAATTTGGTCATCATTTACTCACCCTCAAGTTGCTTCAAACCTGTAGGAGTTTCCGTTGAACACAAAAGAAGATATTTTGAAGAATGCTATATAACCAAGCAGTTGATGGACCCCACTGACTTCCATGGTATGGCAAAAAACACTATGGAAGTTAATGGCTACCAGCAATTGTTTGGTTACCAGCTTTCTTCAAAATATCTTCTTTTGTGTTCAACAGAAGAAAGAAACTCATATAGGTTTGGAACAACATGAGGGGAAGTAAATGACAAAATGTTAATTTTGGGGTGAACTATCCCTTTAAAGCCTTCAAAGCCCCTAAAAGTCATTCTTTAATCTGATGACGCGACATAAACAGGTTCCACCAAGGAACATAGCCATGTGGTTTCAGTGTATTTATGGCTGCAGCAGCAGTTTTGCAAACCCTGCAATTTGCATATATTGAGTAACTTGCTTTAAGAATCACCAGTTTTGCACTTACATTCTGACGCTGTTGTCAAAAAAGCAGCGGTTGCGCAGAAGCCCTGCCCACAGCTGCACGCCAACAATCCCAAAGATGAAAAACACGAAGAAACAAAGCAGCAAGACGTTTCCTAGCATCGGTAAAGTATCCAACAGCAACGTGACCAGGATTCGCATACCTACGAGACACAGATACATGATGTCACAAACACGTATTTAATAACACGTGCAATGAAGCATCAAAGCCATTGGGGTTCACTAGACACATTTACAGATGAGACCGTAGTGTTACATTTAACAGTGTTACTTTGATAACTCTGATCTGACATTCACATACTTCATGAGCACATTTTCTCAGTGTCTGATGTGTATTCAGTAATTGAGCCAAGAAGTGAACACAGGCGCACACACACTCACACACAAACACAAACTTGCAGGGCTTTGGCTAATGCTCGGTGGTTTGAGAATAATGGAATTGGAAACTTAACAGCCACAGGCTCTCACTCCTCACTGAGTCCAAAATCTATTACTGCTTTGCTAAACACACACACACACACACACACACACACACACACACACACACACA